AACACGACGCCATTAGTTTTCTGTCATTGTTATATAGCTTTTCCCGAATGATGTTTGATAATACATCTCTTGAGTGTTTTATCTAACGTACTTGTGAATAGGTTAGAAAACTGTTATCAAGTTTTCAATAATGCTTGAAAATACATGTAGATGTAGGATTTCGTCGTTATCTTTTCATACATTGAAAGCGAACTGTTTCCTTAATTTTCTTTGAATGTTAATTTCAGTTTTATAAAGCAAAAGATTAATAAGAGCCCAGGAAAACTGCCAGTGATTTAAAATACATGTGATAACGTAATTTGACGATTTTCTTTAACATTTAAAAAAATCAAATACACGATAAGTACACACTTTTTGGATTTCGTTAAACATAGGCAAAAGAAAAAGTTTAGTTTTGCGACATTCTTCGGCTTGAAAGAGGTTTCTAATTTTGCTTTAAGTTTATTACCTTTTTCTATAAATAATTATAACCTTGCAAATAAACATATAAGTTCTTTGATGGGATATTTTACATTTATTTTCTTTAGATGTTCGTGATTTACTAAAATACAGGTGTCCAATTTTTTTAAAAGGAACTTTAAAATCTATTTGACCTAGACTTCTTTAATTGTAATGTACAAACCAACAGCAGGTGCTAGTTTAACTTCAATGTTGACCAATGTTTTAAAGAGGTCGTTAAAGTTTTTGTTGACCTTTTGAGAAAGGCAAACATTTAAAGAAGTTTCGTACGAAAAAAAAGTATCTACTGATCAGAAAAAAAGCTTTCTTGTGGGTGATTTGGAACAAGCATAAAGTAATTTAATTTTTTTTAATCAAACAGTTTATCAAACAAACGGCTCATTGGTGTTCTTTGCACCATGTGAACATGTGAACGTGGTTTCAAAGCACATGTACTTTCGTATGTTATGTGGGTTCAAGATACTTTCAAACCTATGCATGTGGTTTCAAAGTGCCTTCGTGTTTACAAAGTACCAGCATATGTACGTGGTTTCAGTGAACCTTCATACATATATACATACATGCATATATGGTTTCAAAGTAGTAACATGTGTATGTTGTTTCAAAGTACCTTCGCTGTATAGTTAATTGCCATATGACTAAACTTTAACATTTAAGTCGAAAAAGGGGGAAAATCTACAGGTATAATATTTAAATATTAGCAGTTCCCTTTTTTTATTAACATACCGGTATGAAGTCGGAGAACTCCAGTTACGTTAATAACGTCTTGATATTATTAAGATATAAAATGGTGTTACGACTATTTTCTCAGTTTAATTAATCTTCTTTATTCGGAAAATTCGCACAATTTTCGGCTAATCACAAAAAGAAATACTAACTTTTGCTTGGCTAAATTCCTGTTATATCCAAAGAAGTGGGTTCGGACGGAGGTGGAAATGCGCCCTAACGTGGTATCTTTTATACGTAAAGAGAGAAAGAGAGACAGAGAGAATACCGTGTACCTTACAACAATACTCGCTGTTACTGACCAGTTTAATCCAATATCAAAACACTCCAGTCCTAAATAGGCTAGATTTAACGAATTCTAAACTTTGCCCTCATATTTAAACCTGAAATGGAGCGAATTCATGGTGAGAATTAGAGGGAATTGCAAATCTTGTAAGTTATCTTGATGTCGTTAGAAACTTCTCTGTTTGTTGTTGATTATTTTAAAAAAAAAAATAGATCTATATTCTAAGTACTTTTCCCCTTGATAGTTCTACAAAGAGACCTTGTTTTCCTTATATTGGCGACTATCGCTTCTTCTGCTTTTTGTGTTAAATGGAAACGATATGAACCTGAGGAGATTGTGTTGGTATACTAACATGTTGTAGTGTTTGTTCAGGGATCTAAGGTCGATTTTTTCAAGAGATCAGTAAACATATGTTTTCCGTCAATTGTTTGTTTGTTGTTTATGCCGAAATGTTAAGCAAAATATTTTTTTTTAATGAGTATATATAGTACCTTGATGATATTTTAATGCATTTACTTAATTGTTTCTGGAACTTACAAACGGAATCAAATTACCCAGAATACGGCTATGGTGGAGAATGAAAAAGTTATTCCTATACATTTAGTCATGGCGTTAGTCAAAACACTGATACCGGAAGTCATTTGGACTCTTTGACGTAAAATGTTATCATCGTATAATTCTAAGTGCATTTCTGAAACCTTTTAAACTTTTAATTTTATGCCAAATCTTGTCAAAATGCTTTTGTTCAAACGAGAAAATACCTGCGTCAAAAATGTCAAGTTATGTGCAGATCGGAAACTCTATGCACGTCCAAAAATTCTAACTAAATCATAAATCTTGTCTGCAGACAGTAGCGTATTAGCATGTCTTGATTTATTCATGTGTCGCATTGTGAAGTTCCCTTTTGTTCTTCTGTGTTTCGTTTTAATCCGATTGACAGTTTTTGCTGGAAACCTGACGGATGGAGAAGCTGCTCAGTGCATTTCAATAATTAAAAAAAAAAGAGTTCAATGTACAGTTTCATGTTTTGTTATTCTGCGTAATTAAATGTTTATTCTTTCGATGCCACGTATGATAATCTTTTTATTACTTATCCTGTCGGAATCATCCCGGACTATAGAGATCGGATACACATCTGTAATATGAAGTCTGCAAGGATTTACAATGTCTCGTATGTTTAGAAATTCGACACCGTTAAAACAAGACTTAAATCACGGCATCAATTTTAATGAATAATGATTTTAACGAAACATTACATGCATTGTAAGTGGTTTATGGACTATTTACTGATAAGTTATAATCCGTGAGGGTCTGTTTATATCTCAAACAGAACAGTTTTTTAATTGATAAGCGGTCAATAATTGTGATTGCAAAATGCAAACAGTCTGAACACAGCAGTCATACGATAAGATTATACACATTTAGGGCTATTTGTATAAGTATTGTCAGTTTCAGAGTGCATTTGTTTGTCCTATGGGTTTTATTTTGAGAGATTGTACGGTTACTAGACCCCTTGTCTAGACTTCCTAGAATCAGAGACAAAAAGCAAATGCACAACAAACCGAAAACATCATGACCAGTCATTGAAATAAGCAATTTAAAAGGCAGTTGTGTTCATTTAAAATGCAATCGCATTCATCTTTTTTGCCGCAATCTATAAGTTGCTGAAACGGAAGAGTCTCAATTGTAGTATTGAAACATCGATCTTTCTCGTCTGAACAAAAATTAATTTTATCTATCCCTCCCCTCCCCCTTCACGGACACCCTTCTTAAAAATGGATCAGCCAAAAACTTTGAAATATTTTAAACAATGGCGTGAATATGAAAGATTAAATTATGAAAGTTTTGTCAATGACAATATTTGATCCGTAACTAATTATAACAGTTTTGACATTAAGCAGGTCTGATGGGGTTATTAATTTAATCCCAATCATCCGGACCTTTCCTAATCCCTAGAAATCTTTGATATCCCCATTCTTGGCAGGAGGCCGGCAATATCGCGCGAAGTTGCACTGAAACGAGACAAAACTGATATGTTAAACAATTAGGACTTTCTCCGATATAAAAGAATTCTCTATGAGATACCCAAAATCTTATAAAGTATCTAAGATATGTGGACTGGTATTGAAATAATCTTATGTAAGGCAATTGAAATCTAAAATGGGAAAGTAAGGTTGATAAAGGAATTCTTTTGAAAAGTAGATTTTTTTCCTTCAATTTTTTGCGACATTGAAATAATTCTTGTTATGACAGGTGCGCGCAGTAAACAATCAAATTATGTCGGATCATCCTCAGAAAAATGTGTATTCAGTTTGTTTACCTGAAAATCTACAAGGAAAATATTCAGCATGTTATAACAATAGAAAATGATCCCCTTTCAAGCGGATTATAAACTGAGATTTTATAATCGTCTTTTCTTTTGTGTTTAAAGAGTTTTAATATATAACTTTCAATATATGCATTAAGAACACCTTCCACTATTAAGGTGGATTAATACCCCTCCAAGATTTTCATTTTATTTTCAATTTTATTGCCCACTCAACATTTTAAGTAAAGATTAATTCAGTAACACCCCATTGACTACGAGCGCGCGTCAGGCCGATAACGGCGTTCTCCTCCACACCGAAAAACTACCAGGCGGAAATAAAGATGCACTTTATCACATGTTTCGATCATTAGAAACAAGAAGTCAGTCATTTCACACAAAGACATTTCATTCTTCAGGAATTTGAAATGTCACTGAAGCAAAAAGCTGCAATGAAAGGAAAGTAATAGGGCTTTTGCGTGATAGTGGCATTTTTTTCTTCCATAAATCTCCCCATTAGAAATTTAGTTTCCCCAAGAAATCACATGGAACAACGCGAAGAGGCTATGTTGAACATTAACACAGTTACACAATACTTATTCTGCACCGATTCCTTTCTTCAACACTGTCTATTTAATCATTGATATTGATAGAAAAACGATTTTATAGGAAGAGATAGCATGCAAGATCTGGTGTGTAAAAGGCAATCGATTACATAATTACAGTTTTTTTACATGATCAATTAAACATATTCGAATGTTGCCCTGTACAATGTTTTTATGTTTGAATACGTATACATTTTACATTTCAGTCTTTACAATTTTAGGAGTTGACCTGTAGGGCCTTAGACTTGAATATGTACAATTGCTAAATTTGGATCTGCACGATCTTTAATAAGAGTCATAATTGTTTAATTTGGACCTGTGTAAATATGCACAATAAAATATAAACTTCCACCTACAATTGTCTATGTGCAATAATCGGCTCTGAACCTAATTTTGCCCTGTAACATCTCTGGACCTGATTTTGGCCTCTAACATTTCTGATTTTTTTTTTCTAGACCCAATGTTGGCCTGTAACATCTATTTTTTTGTCTAGATCTGATTTTGGCCTGTGGTATCTATTTATTTCTCTGTACCCGATTTTGACCTGTAACATCTATTTATTTCTCTGAATCTGATTTTGGCCTGAAACATCTCTGATTTTTCTCTCCTTGTTTTACAGATCACGTAGAGGAAGTTTATCAACGTCTGCCTCCAATTCTTCTAATGATGGTAAGTTCTGACATCATTTGTGTTTATATAAATGATAACTGTTCCCTGTTGATTCTGAATATAATTTGGTACTTTACTATAGTTTACTTTATGAGTTAAGTTTTTTTAAGACTTTCGTTTAAATTAGATTGGTTAAAAAGAAGTGTTAGATATTAACGCCTACTGGTCATTTGATGTCAATGTGGATTCTATCATTTAAAAAAAATAGTTAATTTTTCTACATATTTCTAGAATTTTGGCAAAATGGAGAGGGGAAGTAAGGAATTTTACTGTTCCAATATGTCCCATCTTTCGACACCGGATATGCCTCATAATTATACAAAGTTGTTTTAACGAAATTTGAATTTTCAAGTTCATTGACGGATCACTGTGGATCCAGCAATTATCTTTTCTTTTTTATCGGTCACATAGTCAGTTCATCATGAGCGGAAACCATTGACTAATCATCTTAATTATAGTCATGTATTCATGGTGTCTAGTTTTTTTTTTGTTTTTTTTTTTTTAAATTTTTCCTTAAGCTGATGACTCAGCATATCTTAAATTTATTCAAAATATGCAGCAGGCAATTATAAAATGAATCTCATTATTTATAACAAAGTAATTATTGCTGTTAATTGATACGTTCAAACAACAGCCTGAATGGAAATGTTCGAAATATTCATGAAATGACCATTAAAAAAATCACCCATAATTGTCTTCAAGAGAAAAATGTGCATCATTAATATTAAAACATGTCGTAAAATCTTCTTACACGAAAATTCTGTAACAAAGCGTATTCAACTGTTATATCAATTTTCTTTTTACTGTGTTCTTTGTTTGAGGGGCATCGATGATCTCTTTATGAAATGTTTTACTCTGTTGAACTTCTACAAAAACTTCTTTCAATGCACTTCCATGGAAATTCGATACATTGGACTGCAATGAACGAGACCAAGGGAATCAATTATGGCAGTCTTTCTTTTGTATTTTTATTTAAAGATAACTTCAATTTTACGTTTCCAATATGAAGTCATTCAAACCTCAAACATAACAATTGTATTTCTCTAAAAATCTCTGTGTTTAAAAAACATAATTTCCACTGCAATGAGTTTTTTTTTTATTAAAACCACTAGGGTTAGGCTCTTTGTTGGCTATAATGGGAATGCTAAAAAAAGAAAAAAAAACATGTGTAGGGTCATCCTGTTTAAGATATCCAGAACACTTCTGTTAATAAAACCATGCTGCGAGGTTGGGGTCTTAAATCTGGTGCATATATTTGAAAATTGAAGAGTTTTTTGGATTTTGCCAGTGTTGGTTTTCCACACAAGAGGGTAGACCCCTCACATCAAACAAGTAAGGTGAAACCTCGAACCATTACTTTGTAACTCCTGACACAACGCAAACAAAACTTCGATGGCAACGAATTTCGTGCTGAGGAATTACGGACACGATAGGAACATGTGTTTTAGGAATTTTGTTTATCTTTGTCTAGCGTCTAATTTGTAAAACTTGAGATTGAAAATGTGTATGTTGTTTCATTTCATTGAAACTTAAGGTACCGAGTGGATATAATACACTTCTAGACCTAGTTTGTTCGATTACAAATGATATGATTTATAATGTTTTTCTCCTTTTTATTTCATGTTTATTTTTTTTTTCTCCACAGGAAGCAGTATTTCTTCCATCGGGTCAATGAGATCGGAAGGGGAAAACATAAGTTTGTCTGGAAATTCCGACATTGATTCCATTATGCTGAGCGACCCCTACCGGCTAACTGTGCATTTTTTAGCGGATTCTCACGAAGTTTATCCTATGATGGACATGTATCAGCCCGTAATTGACTGGGTGGATCCAGACCTTCATATTTTCAAGGTCTCGGAGCGGATCAATGTTTCTGAACATAGACAGAAAAACTTCCCTGATTCGGATGCCAGCCTCCCCAGTACCGCCGTTATGATATTCTTACAGGAGGAAGGCATGTTAGGATGTGAAAGAATTCAAACTGCCAAAATTCATTTTGAAAAATCTCCATGGAAATTTCACCATTCGGAGCAAGTGTCCCGAGGCCGGGTTAATCCGTATCCATATAACAGTCAGGACTTCTTTTATACCTCAGAAGATCTTCCGCTTTGGGCTGTTCGGCAGGTGCATTATGGGAAAGAGCATATTCGAATAGTAATATTTGCTAGTGAAGAAAACTGGGACGACATGGTACATTTCTACAAACTTATCATAGGAGCGGATCCAGAATTGTTACGGGAAGACTTCTGTTTATTTACGGTGCATACTCATACACATTACGACGTTCAATTTGCATTAAAAAGACTCCAAAAGGAGACAAAACCTCGACCTCTAGAATGTGTAAAATTACAATTTCGTGTAACGGACGTCGGCCATATTGTGCCACTTTTCCCAAATGTTTGTAAACCTTTATCAGACACTCGATGGGAAACCATGGACCATGATGGAAACATCATTGTTTTAGAAGTAACAGGCTGCGTCTTGCCATCAGCAAACAAACCAATAGAGAACAATGTTACCCGTAAGAGATCAGACCGGTCCGATACCTCCGATAGGTCACGTGGTTCCAGTCGGTCGTCTTCGGAAACCACATCGAGTCAGTCTGGGAAAACGATAGAAATGTCAGGGTTTTATGTTTGAAAGTTTGATTTGTTTGGGTTGATACCTCATTACATGTCTGTGATAGTGAATGAATGGTATTTCCGATCACGTAAATAAGAACTATAATTATGATGAGTATTCAGAAGTATTTTTTTTGATAAATCTTGTGTGTGAATCTTTGTTGTTGAAAAAATGTTGTCAGAATTGATAGAAGTGCAATACATTCATTAGCAGCCAATTAGACAGGATTTGTGAAAAGCAGAGGAAATACCAACTCCTACCTTTCCCATTCAATCTTTTCAATGCATTGATACCTAAATATTTTTATTTGGTAAAACGAGATCTTCTCTTGTCAAAGGACCTTTAAATATCTTCGATGGTTAGAAGTTTCAAATTCTTGCTAGAATAAATTATATGCTAATCCAAGTTATCCAAAATGTCATTCGTATTTTCTCAATCTGCCAAATTAAATGTTATTCAATATGACAGTATCATTGTCAACCGACTGTAAGAATTTGAATTGTTGTAAATGTTGATTGTGTGTCCGAATTTCCTCGTTAGGAGTGAATGGAGATGATTCATGTATAAGTCGTATATTATTTATAATGATTGTAATACGCCAATATACCTGTAAGAAAAGCCATTTGTTGCACGCTTCTTCAATATCGGTATACACAAAATTACCCCCAATCATTGTGTAAACACTAAATCTAAAATTGAGCAGTTCATTAAATCCCACTTTATTACCCGTGACTGGCCCCACAAAAGATAATTATATCATCAGACACAAAATTATAGGTTATATTCCATTTAAGATCCATGTGTATGTATTTGACAACCTAATACTAATTCGTATCTAGAGAGAAATTTTTATAAATCTGACCTGGCACAATGGCTTATTAATATACTTGCACGGAGTATTATGGCAATTCTGATGTGTTATGATTAATGTAATTACGATATATTTACCATTGTTTATTTGGTAATAAACTTTAAAGAAATATTTGTCTTTGTTATGAAAAGCTAATTCAAGGAAATTATGTCCCTACTTAATCAAGAACAGAATAAGTGGATCAATTGATTGTATGTTGTTTAACGTCCTGTTCGAGAATTTTCACTCATATAGAGACGTCACCCTATGCCGGTGAAGGGCTTCAAATTTAGACCTTTACTCAGCACTCAGGGCCATTGAGCAGTAAGGGTTGTTTATCGTGCCAACGCCTAGTGTGACACGGCGCCTCGTCTTTTAAGGTCTCATCCGAAGGACCCGCAACTTTCACTTCAAAGTGCCAAGCGCTTGGTGAAGGAACAGTTGCTACCTATTTTCTATCCACTTAGGTTAATCGCGGCCGTGATTCAAACACACAACCTTCCGATCACGGAGCGAGCGCTCTACCGGCTGAGCTACAGTGACGGCCAGAATAAGTGGATGGAAGACTTGAAGAATGCAGATGGAGAGAGAAAAGATCGAAGAGTCATGATGTTAAGGATTTATAATATTGTTTTGGTAGAAATCATGCAGCACATGTATTGACAAAAGAAAGAATAGCTTCATTCCATATGTGAATTGTGACCTTTATCTTTTCGTCTCAAAATCAAAAGAGATTTTTCTTAAGTTACAGAGAGTTATCATAATGAGTTTCATTGCAAAAGCTTAAAAAAAACTTAAGTAATCATCAAAAAACATTTTATGCAGTATATGAAATTATGACCGTGACCTATGACGTTTTGGCCTCAAATTCAATATGGATCTTCTTGAAGTCATAGGAAAATATGATATAAATGTATATGTAAAAGCTATAATTGAAGAACTTTTGGAGATATCCAGACACTAAGCTTTTATAGAGTGAGTATGTCCAAATAAAAAAAAAATGTGACCATGACCTTTTAGCCTTTAAATTAATAGTTGTCATTTTTATGTTAAAGAGGGTAATCATCTCAAATTTCATAGCAAAAGCTCCAGGAGAACAAAAGTTATCACCAAGAACCTTTTAATGCAGTATTTGAATTTCTGAACTTAACCTCTGCCTTTTGACCTAGAAATTAATACAGGTCTTCTTTGAGTCACAGGAAGTTTAAAAAGTAAAAGATCTTGTCATCTGGAAGCCATCTGGAAACCAAATTGTTATAGAGTGAATTGATCAAAACCATATGCATGTATGATTTTGAGACCTCGACCTTTCATCTTTTGACCTTCAAATCAATAGGGGTCTTTCTTAAGTAAGAGAGAGTCATCAGCTCAAGTTTCATTGCAAAGCCAGAACTAAAGTTATAACCAGGAAACCATTTCCTACAATTTTTGACCTTGGACTTTCACCTTTTGATATCAAATTCAATAGAGGTATTTTATAAGTCTTAGTGGGTTATGATGTAAAAATTCATTGCAAAAGCTATAGGAATTCTAGAGATATCATTCGAAAAATGCAGTATTAGACAGACAGAATGACGGATAAACCCAAATTTTAAAATATCACCAGCGAAAGCGGGGGACAAATATCTTTCATTAAGTGCACGTTCCTGTGAAGTCGCACGTATGGTTCCTGCTTCTCTCTCTTTTTTTTTTTTTTTTACAATATTGGCAGATCAAATATGCTGCAGGTCAGATGTGGTTGGGAAATGAATCATGTTTTGCAGTCGTCCTCAATTTCTTCAATATGATAGCTAATGCTTCTGAAACATGTGCATTTTACACTGAAAACAGACGTTTGGTAACTGAAAATTTGTACTGTGAAAACGTACTTTAATTTGAAATGGACAATTATTCACATAGAACACGGTTTTAGGCTCAATTTTCTCCCTGTAAATTTACGAAACGACTAAGGGATTTTATGCACATTCAGTGAATGTTCAACACAGACTATTTTAATCAAACTTCCCGACCAGGTGAAATTCATTAAAATAGTTGGAGTGTTAAGGTATTATGGAAGGTAGAAATGTGGAAAATTGTCCATAGAAGAAATAAAATGTAAACGTATATAGGTACACGTTGATGTGTTTTTGCATGCGATGTCCAACATATGAACAATTTCAAGTTCCCACTATTAACGACAAGAAAAATTTCCGAAACTTATGCTTTTGAATATATTTCGTTTACTTCACCGATCCAGCAAATTAATCTATAACACATTTTATTTCTTTACACTCTTTTTCCAAAACAGGTAAATGACTGTCAGAAATGTGAAAGAGAACAAAACAATATATTTATGCTAGGCAGTAGCAATGCAACTTGTACTGTATACAGTAATTTACCATTCCATTTTAATGATTTTCAATTCTAGTCAGTAAGTTTGATGGAAACAATGTATGGTGAGCTCCACTGAATGTGTCTTATCAGAATGTTTTTGTTATTTACCATCTTGATATGTTATATGCATTTTAAAACATGTATATATTACAATATTTTAAAATGAAACTATTTGAAAATATATGATATGTACACTAAGTGAGTTTCGAGATTCAGTTGCAAACTCCGTGTTGCCAAGCATTTTAAGGGCAGTGGGCAGTAAGGGCAAGAATATGCACGCTGTAATTATTATTTGATTTAATAATTATAATCTATAAGCTACTAAAATTGAACTCTGCCACCGTCTACCCAGTGTTACTTATTGAGAAGCGAAGCATATTGCGATGAATAATGGTTTGCATCATATAAAATGTTTCTTCCCCGATGTTTTAAAATACTGAACATTATGTGGTTTTGGTACTTTAATAATTTTTCTGCCCTGTATACGCCTGTGCGTGTACATTGCCATTCTCTTCTACTGCGAGCGATCGTCGCTCTCCTTTGAGGTCCTTTGCTGAAACAATTTAGGCAGGTATTTCATATTGAGCCATTTAAAGCCCAGCGTAAACGGTGCCTTTGAATGATAAACTGCAAGGTTAACCCGGGCCTGTAAATTATTATAGCTCGTAATTGATAGAGATGAATCATTTCATAATTCTTTGTCACCTTTTTAGTCACTTTCCCCCATTTTATCTTTCACGTGCTTTGTAGCATTTATTACAGATCTAAAATGATCATAAGCTATTTCCTCTTATTAGGCGATTTTAATACACTTGTTAATGCACTCCTATCCTCGATTGAGATCTTTTCAAGAATTTTTTGATAGAAATATGAAATGATGACTGTTTTGATTTTATCTTGTTCTTGGTGTCGTCTGCGGCAGCTGTCAACTCGCTCGAGATTCACTTTTTGATGTATGAGATAAAAAAAAAGGTTATTATAAGACCAGGTTTTTAAATTTTATCATCAAAAGTCAAATAAAATATAAAGATAAAATATTTCAAAAGTTTGTTACTCATTCGGGAAATTATTTACATTAGTCGTTGATTAACTAGTCCATGCATGACGATCAGTTGTGCCTCCAGGATTAGACAGCGAAAGATAACTCCCTTTCCGATATTGAAAGGGAGTTATCCAATCTTCTAATGAACTTGTACATAGTGTAGTCTTTGCATTATGCGATCAGTCTCATCAATCAGAAATGAATGCAATGACATGCATTTATGCACGTGTGTTGAATTTTGATTGGCCAATACATGTACTTTGTAGGCCTATAGCTCTCTTACTTTTCAACGAAATACGTTGAAATTTAAGACAAAGGACAGTATGTACTAGTATATAAAGTACGGTACTATTAGAAAGTACGCGCAAGCACTTGCGCTGAAATCTGATTGGGCAAAAATTGAAAATAGTTAGTACATATTTCTTGGTTTTAATGAAACAAGACAAAATATGAGAATGTATATGTATATAAATCAAGTCCCTAAATTATGAAATCTTCAGAAATGAATATATACAAAGAGATGCATGCACGTGTGCTAAATTCTGATTGATTGATACTCAAATTGCTGCAACTTTCTACGTTTACAGTAATATTTTTTTAAAATCTAAAATACAGCTCTTTATCAAGGCATACTATGAGATGATGTATAAAATTTTCGAAATCATGTGCGTGTCTTATGTTCGTTTTGATATATGTGTGTTGTTACTTCCCAAAATATTCTGGAAAATAAGTTATAAAAGTCTATTTTTCCTAATTTAATGAGGCTTATAGGGAACGGTCACAAAAAAGGAAAAGGGGAGTGTTTGGGGAACATCTGTAACGGCCTCCATTACAAGTAGAACTATAGTTGGAAAGAACGAGAGCGCATTTGATAGGCATCTGAAAACTTGAAAAGTGAAAATTTCATCAACCTGTCACATGAAATTTTAGTATTATTTTGATGTATCGGGTTCCTGTGAAATAGGAAAGGGAAATTTTTCTCCGGTATTTTTTTTTTTTTTTTTTTGATATTTTTTTCGATTTGCTAAAACATAGCTTAAAATATGGCTAGATGAGTCATTTGGTACAAAATGTTACATTTTTAAACACGATTTTCTAAAAATTTGCACCCTCTGGATCATCTCTCTGATCTTAAAACGTTATTTGTATGCAATAATCAAAGAA